TTTGTTTTACTATGGTTGCAAATATCAAAAAATCTCTATATGTGACACGGCACCAGAGTTAAGTTAGGGTTTTTCAAAATGCTGACACGCCGAGCTCAAAAGGTTCGCCATCACTGGCATAGGGCTTTTCAGTTGTGATATCAGAATCTTGAAGACAGTGGAGTAGCCCCTTAAAAAATCCTGAATGAAATTTAATTTCAACATAGACTTTGATACCCAGCCAAACTAACAAGTGTATGCATATAATAACAGCATTTTCAGGTACTTTAAAAATGTATTATTCATATATCCTTTCTTATGAAAGTTACCTGGAAAATAAACTTCTGCCAAAAAGAGAATAAATCTAAAAGCAGAATGATTTACAACCAGAAAACAGGGAACTCTAATAAGAGCATGGGTAAGGATTGGCCCAATAAAGCGACCAACCAGGCCAGGCATAAGAAACCAAAAAGGATATATCAAGGAAAAAATTTAAGAGGAACTGATCATGTATCTGATGTGTTCCATTATTTGGAAAACTATTATTGACAGGTACTTGACAGATCTGTTTGATCATTTGTGGGCAGGGGGACGTCAGTTACCTAGAAAAATAAACTATTAATAACTTGGCAATTAATTTCAGAAATAATAGAATATTGTACAAGAAAATTAATTTGAGCAAAATAATTCTTGTCTCCATAGTGAAATTTATTTCTGTAGTCATTATAATGTAAATGGACTACTGATTAATGATTTAACCAAAATTGTTACATGGGAGGGTGAGGAGGGGATATTGGGTGGGTGGTATAAGAGATGTAAATCATGACCTATTTTATCACAGAGAGTCAATAGAAAATGTCTTATAGTTCAAAAATCAAGAAATAGCATTACAAGTATGTCGTTGAAAAATATGAAAATACCAGAAGAGTGGATAGTGTGTGCCTTTGAAAATTAGGCTTGGAGATGGGTAAGGGGTAGCATGGGTACTACCCTTCTTTGTTTTGAGCACTTGAGTGCTATTTGACACAAATTAGTCATATGACTTTGATCAGAAAATTTAATTATAAAAATAAAGGTTATATGCCCCTGACTAAGAAAAACACTTCCTATGGTATTCAGTGATGGCGAACCTATGACACACGTGTCAGAGGTGACATGCGAACTCATTTTTTTTGTTTGATTTTTTGTTGTTAAATGGAATTTAAATATATAAAATAAATATCAAAAATATAAGTCTTTGTTTTACTATGGTTGCAAATATCAACAAATTTCTGTATGTGACACGGCACCAGAGTTAAGTTAGGGTTTTTCAAAATGCTGACACGCCGAGCTCAAAAGGTTCGCCATCACTGATCTATACCATAGGAAGTGGTCTATATGATCTATACTATAGATCATACATGAACAGTGACGAGTCCTCCCTGCTCCATCTCCTGTCCTTGGGTCTCTCCCCCGTGGTTCTCGTGGCTGCATTCATGGCTTGAAGTGTGCTGTGCCTTTTGGTAAAGTGTAAAGCAATCTGGCCTTGTCTTTGCCCAGTTGGGCCAGGACAGCCACATCACGCGGCATTGCAGACACTGCGGGTGAGTGGTGCACTTTAAGAGTAACGTGCAATTGGCCTATGACTGTTCTGGGCCTTTCGTCCCTGAGCCGCTGCTTACAGCCAAGGCAGCAGCCCTGACCTAGTTGGGTGAGGCGGAGGGCTACCCTGCCAGTGGGCGCATGGCGTCTCTGGCAGGAGACTCCTAACTGTTGGAGTTGGCGCCATGGCAGATATTCCCAAGTCAGGGCGTAGGTGCCGAGCCCCGGTCCAGCTGGTGGGATTACTTGTTGGTTTTGCTGATCTGCACCAATAAGCTCTTTTTCTGGCACAGATCACCAGGAGCAGGCAGTGGCTTTCCATCTTCCTCACAGAAATGCTTTTTGCAGTTGGAAATGATAATAAAGTTTTATTCAGATTTCATCGAAACAGCGCTTTATGGGGGAGACGTTAGTGAATGAAAGCAAGAACTTGTTAGTCCTCAGTGATAACCATATATCCTTAGGCAGGTCATTTTTTCTGCTTCTCTCTTACTGCATTCCTGTTTAAACCATTCACATCTCCTCATTATAAATAAGAAAAATGCAATTTTATTAATCTAGAATTCAAGACCTTTCATAATGTGGTCTGGTCTATCATTCCTTGAGTTCATGGGCCCTTACCTGCTTTCCCACTTTCTTGCCCATGCTAATATATTTCTAATTGGCCTTTTAAAACAGATTTTTCTCTAATACTTGTTGTTGTGTTTTATATGCTTTGTATTTAATCGTCTTTGTGTGTGTGTGTGTGTGTGTGTGTGTGTGTGTGTGTGTGTGTGTGTCTGCTGTTCTTGAAAGATGGAGGAGAAATCAGAAATGATAATGATGCCTGCCATCTTTAATTCAGCTCTTACTTGGTGCCAGACACTTGCTAAGGACTCAGCATCTGATTTGATCTCCGCAGTAGTTTTAGGAACACGCTGCAGTTTTCACTCCCATTTCAGGCTGAGGAAACTGAGCCATGTGTCCAAGGTCACCGAGCTGGAAGGAGCCAGAGCTGGGTCTGCAACCCTGATGTGCGTTGACTCTTGGGTCTGCCGTCTTGATGCCGATGTTTGCATGGCTCCCAGGGCAGCCTCTGAGTTCTTATTGCATAAGATTAAGAAGCAGATGATTTATCCTGAATACCTCATGATCAGCATGGGGCTTCCTATGTTGTTGTTGTATATTGCTTGTAAAAATCATTGCATCTTTTCTTTCTAAGAGAGTTTGGAATTTTACACATTTTCGGTCCTGTCATTCTTTTTTGGATCCTCTCAGTTCAAAATTCTGGAGTCATCTTTGATGTCTCCTGATATCTCTCCTTTAATTTCCATAAACTCACATGTTCTCTTTATATTTCTGTTTTTTAATGTATATTTTAATATGTCTCTACTCCTCCTGCCTGGAATATTGCAACTGTGTGTGATCTCTCCCCACTGGTGGTCTCTGCCATCTTACATTGATCAGACACATTGATCCAGTTTATTTTTTAAGCTCAGTTTCTCTCATATTGCATACTTGTTTAAACCACTAACATCTCTTGAATTCTACCAGTAAATTAATAAAATTGTATTTTTCTTATCTATAATGAGGAGATGTGAATGGTTTAAACAGGAATGCAATAGGAGAGAAGCAGAAAAAAATACGGTTTTATTAATCTAGAATTCAAGGCCTTTCATAATGTGGTCTAATCTATCATCCCACAGGTTCATGTGCCCTGACCTGCATTCCCACTTTCTTGCCCATCCTAATATTTTCCTAATCTGGCCTTTTAAAACACAGGTTTTCTCTAATACCCTTTTGTTTTTATTTGTTATATGCTTTGTATTTTATTAGTGTGTGTGTGTGTGTGTGTGTGTGTGTGTGTGTGTGTCTCATTTTTACCCAACTGAATAGTTAAATTCTGGGTGTAGAAGAGATGGGAACTGAGTTCAACATAGTACAGTGTCTTGTGTGTAGCACTGTGTAAAAAAAAAATGAACAAATGGATTTTAAAGTTTGAAAGTCAATATATAATTTAAATTTCGTATTTCTTTGATTTTGTTTATTTCACAATGTTAGACAAAACTAAGTAGATTTTTCTGTTATGTTTTTTCATCTATTTTTTTAATTATGAGATGAAATATATTGGTATAACTTGAACAGTTTAAATATTTTCAAAAGAAACAAATAGGTTTTATTAGTATTCTAATCTGAAAGATATAGAAAATGTACTCCAAATGAAAATGATATACTCATTATTACATAGCTTTTTAAAGTTAAAACAATATTTGAGTACTTGTAAGAAGCTGTTTTATTATATTGTTAGTAATATGTGGTTTTGCTGGGGGTAAACTGAATACTTATAGTGAAATAAATGTTACAGAAAAAGCTATTTAGTTTTTCTTGCCTGATGTATTAAATATAGTTGGAAATTGTTCTGAATACTAAGTAATGAAGTGAGGAAATTGGAAATGTACTTAAATATGAAGTTTAAAACTATCTGCTTGGGCAGGGTTTGTTTTTTAAAAGGGGGTTGCATTTTTAAAAATTGTTTCTTTCTTTCTGTTGAACTTGAAAATGTTTCTCCCTTTTTTTCTTCTTGTTTTAATAGCATGAATATTTATAGCTTTAAAAAATTTTTATAGGTGTTCTATAATAAATAAATATTCCTACTGTAATGTATAAATTATTTAAAACTATGTTCTATGTAAGCATTTTTGCTTTGAAATATTTGCATTTCAGCAAGATAAAGATAATTTCACCCTAAGACTAAGAAATTAGCCAACATAAATGTTCACATATTTTAGATGTTCATATTTATGAACTGAGAGTACTTTTGTTGTTGCTTTTTTATAATGCAATTTCAATGTAATATTATTTTAGCTCAGAAATCTCATACACTCTAAATGCTTAAAGGTTTTTTTCCCTAAATCATTTTTTTCCTAAATAATATTTATCATCGTCATGATACCTCCTTTTACACCTTTCATTTTTCTAAAAGCTATCTTAAATTATATTACCCATTAATCTGGTTTTCAAAATATCCAAATAAAAACCATAAATGTGTCTTTCAGGAGGGAGCCACATGTTTGATGGTAATCCTGGCATGTATCTGATGTACTCTCACAAACAGAAATGTTACGTTGTAAAAGCAGTGACAGTTTAAATTCAGATTATTTTTAAAGGGACTGAGCCTTCGAATGAAAGTACAGATTACCCATCTTAACTACTCTCATTTCATCATTTCATCTTTAAAATCAGACTTCATCTTACGATCCCCAAAAACACACACACAACAACCCCTCACTAATGTGCATTTTTGGCTTTGCTAGTTCCCTTTGTCATCAAATGGACGCTGGCCTACATTTCCTAATAATTTCTTATCACATTGAAATTCATGGCAAAACCCAAAACGAGGCAGTTTTGCCTCCCAGCGCCTGTGTCTGACCGGATGCTTTCTCCCTGCCTCTCTACCTAAGGAAATAGAGAGGCTGACGCTGGAGCTGAGGGAGAGCAGGCAGCACGTGGAGCAGGAGCAGCAGAAGGCAGCGGGGGCTGGCGAGGAGCTCCTGACATTGACAGAGCGGCTGGGCGAGGCCGAGCGCCAGCTGCACCTCACCAGGTACCCCTGACCCTGTCCCCCACCCCGTGGCCCCCCTCCCCACCGTGGCCCCATTTCCGCCCACCGGCGGTTGCCACAGGCTTCCAAACAGTTGTTGGAGTTAGTCTCAGGCATCCCGTTCACACGCAGCTCTCAGGCATAGAAGCAAAACACGCCGACATGTGAGTGATGAGTGTGGCAGGGAGTTACTGATCTGTCCCAAAAGATGCTCAAATATTTAGGCGATTCTCCATCAATACAAGCAACATGACATATTTCTCCTACCACCACCTCGCGTGTTAATCCTGTGTCTAATACAAATGCTGCACTGGAGGATCCCAGGAATATATGCAGGGAAGTGATCAGACACTGACATGGTTCAAGAGGCAAAATGAAAGGCATCCTGAGATGCATTTGGAGATGGAACTGCTACTAACAAGGACCCTGGGTCCTAAGGAGGTGTAAGATTTTGACATGAAATTGATTGCACTGTTCACATTTAAAGCATTATTATAACCAGGCTTGCACCATCCTGGTCTCCCTGCCTACTGTTTCTGTCAGGGGGTATTGTGATATGAGTATCCTTGTCATAAAACTTCAGTAAACACCTAACTCGGCCCCAAATTACAATAAGGTATTTTTGGTAGCAAACATTGTGTGATTTGCTATGTTGAAAACACACACGCAGACACAGAAATACAGCAGAGAAAAATTCGCACTGTGACCGGAGATATTTCTCGTTATCCTGTAAGTGGTTTCTTCTCACTTTCAGTTTTAGTATAATTTTCAATTTTCAGGTCAAGCCTTTGAGATTATTCAGTTTGGGGAGTTTTTCGGCTTTTAGGGAGAACTTTGTCTAAATACACATGTCGATTTAGAATCGTTGGTTTGGTTCATCGTTTAGAAAAACACTGGTCTTCTAATCATAGTAAAATGTTGAATTTAAATTATGAAAGGGGACTGATCCCTTTTCCATTAAATATGAGCATGTAATTCCGAGCACGGTATGATAACAGATGGAGAAAAACACCACTTGAACAGCCTGCTTTTGGGAAAAAAAAAAATTCTGGAGGTTGGTGAACCTCCCAAAGTTTTAGGCTAGTGTCAAGATGCCTCAAGTTCTGTTAAAATCAAACTTTGTTAAAAAAAAAACACAACATTTTGTTATGATAATATTCCAAATGGAATATTGCCAACTTCCCCTTTAAACAATGAAAGAAAAGGAGAAGGGAGAAGGAGAGAGAGAGAGAAGGAAAGAAAGTACATCATTTCTAACATGTGTGATATCTGGAAAAAAAATCCCAATAGATAAAGCACTTTTATGACAAAAAAATTGCTTAATACTGCAGAATAATAACTGTTCTTTGAATGCCCATTAAAGCGTTGTTCTTTAGAGCTGAGAATGTAACGTTAACAGAGTTTCTATGGTTATTTAAGCATGGCTGTTTCGGAATTCAGTTCCATCATGATAGTGAACAGTTTTTCTTGTCAGACTTCTATTGAGAAGCAACGGTTTGTGTGCTGAGCCCCGCCAAACCGCAGAAATAGGACGGCTTTAATGTCTCCCTGTGGCTGAGCGTCAGTAAATAAATATTAATACCGGCTTTGCCCCCTTTGCCTTTCTGTCTTATTCTGAGAGTTCATTTCTGAAGTCGTAGCTCGTGGAGAGTTTTCCTGGGAGATGTCCATTTGTACCGTCTGACAAGATCCATTTCTTGCCAGAAAAGCATGTTAAGATACAGCACCTCTGCAAGTGACTAGTGGTAACGAATTCTTTTGTTCTTAAGGAAAACGGTTTTGCTGGCTTCCCTACAAAGCTTTTCCCACTGAGCTTTATTCACACCAAGTTACAAAAATTTAACCCACTTTTACAGGAAATGAAGGGTGATTCCCTGTTTTCTGGGTGTGGTGCTGTTTTGTAAGCATTTTACACTTCCCTATTTTACAAAAATAGGAATGTGAAGGTGGAATAAAAGTGTAAGGGGCTGTATATATCTCTCTTCGCACTGAAAATGTGACTTGGTGGTGGGGTTAAATATTTCTGATACACTTTTTGAGATTTTTTTAGCGTTTGCTTCCCCTCATCATTCTTTGTTGATTCAGTATTCTCAAGTGTGTGTCTGGGAAACATGGGTCTCTCCCTCCTCCCCCCATATATTCCAGCTGAAATAAATAAATCCCATACAGGTAGCTCTTCAGTTATTCTTAACATAAACATTTTGAATGTCATAGTCTAAACAAAGTTTAAAATTGAATATGAAAACCATGCTATAAAGCAGTGGTTCTCAACCTGTGGGTCGAAACCTCTTTGGCGGTTGAACGACCCTTTCACAGGGGTTGCCTAAGACCATTCTGCATATCAGATATTTACACTACGATTCATAGCAGTAGCAACATTACAGTGATGAAGTAGCAACAAAAATAATTTTATGGTTGGGTCACAACATGAGGAACAGTATTTAAAGGGCCAGAAGGTTGAGAACCACTGCATAAGTAATAATGAAATAAGAATCCAAATCTTCCAGGCAAAGAAAATGTAAAAACTGGACTATAAATTTGTAGATCAATCTGAAAGGAAAGTAATCTATCACTTTTTTGGTATTTCCCTTTATTGTTAACTTGACATAAAAAAAAAAGAAATTCAATATTTATTGAAAGATCCAACTGGTAAGTATGACATTCATTTATTCAACAAATAATTAATTGAGCACCTACTGTCTTTTACCACATTGCTTGGCCCTTGGCATAAAGGAAAAAGATTCGGGTCCCACCTTAGGTTGCTCACACTCTCCCACTCTCTTAAGGAGCGAGATATACACAGTTATAGTGGAGTGTGATAACGGTGCAATGACAGGAATGAAGGTGGCCACGGGAGCACACAGAAGGAGAACTGGCTCCTTCGGCATTGGAAGTGAAGGTGGCAGTCAGGAAGCCCCCCTGGAGGAGGAGACGTCTGGCAGTTATCGTGTTACTAGTTCGGGAGTAGGAGTTCTCAGAGTGGAAGAAGGTGGGGGAGTATCCCAGCTGCAGGGAGCAATGTATGCGAAGGCAAAGATGGGAGAGCGCATCAACTCTAACACCAGGCCAGGTGTTTGGCAAGAGAAAGGCCTGGGGAACGGGGTCGGGGACCAGGGGGAAGGCTTTGTGGGCCGAGTTCTGGAGTTTGGTCTATTCTGAGAGTAGTGAATGGGCTACTCTTCTATCGTGAGCAGGGCTTCCAACATGATCAGCTTTTGGGTGGGATGCTGACCCAGTCAGCAGTGTGGAGAGTGAACTTGGAGAGTTAATGTGGGAACAGGAAGACCAGTTAGGACAGAGTCAGCAACCACAGCCCAAATCTGACCCGTCTTCTGTTTTTGTATGAGCTAAAAATGACTTTCTGCTTTTAAATGGTTGTGGGGAGAAGGAAAAATAATAATTTGTGACACATAAAGGTTACGCACCCATAATAAGTTTTACAGGGCACAGCCTCCATTATGTTGTTATATATGGCACTGCCAGGGCAGAATTGAGTATGTCCCCAAAGCCTAAAATATTTACAAACTCTCAGGAGGCTGTTTAATTCAAGAAGTCAAGAGAGCTTGAACTATGATGGGTTCAAATGTGTACTTCGAAGGGCAATTAAAAGACACTGTGAACCCAGCCAGCGTGGCTCAGTGGTTGAGCGTCGACCTAGAACCAGGGGGTCACGGTTCCATTCCTGGCCGGGGCACATGCCTGGGTTGCGGGCTCGGTCCCCAGTGGGGCATGCGAGAAGCAGCCGATCAATGATTCTCCCTCATCATTGATGTTTCTCTCTTTCCCTCTCCCTTCCTCTCTGAATCAATAGAAAATATATTGTTAAAAAAAAGGCAACGTGAAAACAGTTGGTTAAGGAAGAGATGATTGGCAGGGGCCCATTTAGAATATAAGCACATCACAGTCCTGGGCAGTGATGGTGTCAGTCAAATGGAAAGGAAATGACCTCTCAGGAAGCACTTGCGGTAGCAAATGAGAGAGGCTGCGATTACAGGTGCCTCCAGTTCCAAGCCTGTGTTAACTGGGTGATCCATTACCAGCTAGGGCAGTGGTTCTCAACCTGTGGGTCACGGCCCCTTTGG